TCCTCCTCCTTTAGATGTTGATATCTTACCATTGATTTGGTGAGAAGCCCCATCGTTAGATGTGTAAGGGAAGAGTGTGGGATGTTTGTGTAGTCATAGAAGGCAACCTATGGGACGTTTTAGTAATGTCGTTTAGGGACTAGATCGTTTACCAAAGGCAACATCGAGGGACTACGATCTTTTATCGAGGGTCTTTTGCTAAAACGCCCATGTTCGAGGGACATGACTAATTTTTAGGAAACAAGTGGAGTTAACCTTAAGGGTGCGTGTGTGCAAAATGTGTTTGATTGCATGCATTTAGTCTTGCTTTTAGGTTGTCTATTTTATTGTTTTCATGTCTTGCCATACACACCTTAATTACTAGCGTTTACATTTGAAAGCGATAAATTACGGAAATGTAAAGTCCTACGCTATTACAATATTTTAGGGTTGGGGGTACATATTTACAAATGGGGGTTGCAAATAACATTAAATCCTAAGTTACTATTACAACCATATTGAATGTACAAGAAAATTTAAAATGAACTTGTTTAGAAAATGGTTTTTTGCCTTAACGAATTTAGGAAGAAAAAAAAAGGGAAATAAATTAATTAATAAAAGAAAATATTTTCATGTCTTTTTTATATTAATAAAAAAGGGAGTTAATATTAAAAATGATAAAAAGGAAAATAAATGAATAAATAGGAACAACGTGCCACTGCAAGTAAACTAAACAAGGATCAGATGTTCTGAAGCCAAGCGCGTGGTGACTCAGAAGGGAACGTCAATGGAATCAGAAGCTCTGGATTGTTACACTCTGAGGTCCTGCAAAACACATTAGAGGGAAAACACAGAAATTATGGGTGGTATTCTGACAGTGAGCCAAAAGTCAGAGGTTATGTATTACACTAAAACAGTGAGTAAACATCAGGAATTCAGTGTATTGTCAGCATGTGAAAATCAGAAACTCTGAGTGTTTAAAATAGCGAGGGGAAGCATCAGAAGTTCAGTGTGTTTGACATGTAGGGAGAACTCAGAAGTTCTATGCTGTGTTAGAACAGTGAGTGAAAAACAGAAGTTTTATGTGTTGCAATGGTGAGTGAAAAATAGAAGTTTTGTGTTACACTTCAACTCTTTCCTTATATCAATCAGCACAATAATAACTTAATCAGTTTTCAGCAAACAGCAAATCAGAAGGATAAAAGCACAACAATTTATGGAAGTTCTGATCCTGGTCCTGAGTCTAACCTTAATCAGGAAGTTCTGATCCACATTTTTCCTACTTACGCAGTGATACTGACAACCTCAATACTATGGCATTTACATGTTTGATGATGTTCTAAATGAGAAGATGTAGAGTCAGGGAGACTTACCTTGAAGCTGGAGCGTGTGTTTGGGACTTGAGCTGCTGCCTTCAGGTATTCTAGAGTTCGCAAGAGCAACGAACGAGAAAATACCAAGTTCTTTTACTTCAAGGGAAGACCAAGGGTTTTGGTTTTTCTGTTTGGGAATTCTGGATTTTTTTATGAAGGTTTCACAGTTTTCTTTTCCCTCTTTTTGACAATTCTCTCTCTCCCAAAAGCCAACCCCTTGAAAGTGTGATGAAGAAACTTATTTATAGATGAATTTGTTATGGTTTTGGGGGGGAAATGGGAATTAAACTTTTGGCACACTGTTCCATTGCTTTTTGATCACAACCTTTTGTATTTGATAAAAATACAGGATTTGGAAAAATGCAGGCGTGGACTGGATTAACTGCTGGTTAGAGCATTGTGCTGTAGCAGTGCAGCAGGTTATTTAAACGAGGTCTTGGGATTTGGTGATGTTCTGATCGCAAAAGATCATAAACGTAACCTTCAAATGCTGAAGGGGCATGTTCTGACCAGAGCGTTGAACACGGCCTTCATATGCTGGAGAATCATATTCTGACCCAAGAGCATCGCTTCTACATATTCTGATTGAAGCATCATGTTCTGAACCGTGTTTGCAACTTCTGACTGCACTTGCATGGAGGCTGGCTCATAAGTTCTGAAGTATCATATTCTCTTAACACTTAGAAAATTTTCTAAATGCTTAGAAATTTGATTTTTTCAAAGTAACTTCTGACTTCTGATTTTTTTGATGAACCAATTTCATGTTTTGATGAAATATAATTGTTGAAACTTGATTTGAATCTAAAAGTCAAAGTTTGGCTTTTCATTGTGTTTTTGACCATTTTGCTCTTGTGAATGATTTTCTTGAAAAGTTGTAATTCAAGACTTGAAACTGGATGGAGGCAAACCCGAGGGTGCAGGTTGATCTTTTGAGAAATGAGAGGGTAAATTTGAGGTACAACAGTAAGGATTGACAAAAATTTCAGACATAGATAAAGCTTCATTAACAAAGTCGTAAATAGGCCATATCATACATCTTTAAATCATCCAAGTAAATAGAATATGTGTGAATCTAACTACTAAAAGCCAATGTATAAGAGGTCGTAAACAGGTCATTTCATATATAAACAAAATGTGATAAATATAGAGGAAACTATCCTTAGGCAATAACATCACGACCTACAAAAAATATTGTCTCAATTAGCTATTTATGCAGGTAATATGTGAGTGTTCCATTTATTTCGAAATAAGTGACACCCCATGTTTGATTTATCATTTTCTGCTTCTTGACATATTTTGTTGACTACGCCCATATGTTTGTTGACCATAAAATCTTAACTCTTTTAGGTTAATGGCGCAATAAATATAGAATAAATATAGAATATAATTATAAAATCTAGTTATCTTGTCTTACTCTTCTTTTGATTAAATATAGATAGAGGAAACTAGATTTTTTTTTTGAATAACCAAGTATTAAAAAAAAACGCAAATAACCACGTTTCGAAAAAAGTACGCAAATAACCATGTTTCAGATGACTCTTCAAAGGAGGAGACATCTCACTTGGCGCCTACACCCATTATTTAAGGGGAGGCGCCATCTCACTTGGCGCCTAGGTGCTTAGGGCATGCCCTAAGCCAAGTGAGATGGCGCCTAAGTGCAATTCTAGGGTAAATTTCACTTTTTTTTTCGGTCCGGTGCGTCGCGTATTGGATACAGGGTCAACAAAATTGACTTTTTATTATAAAAAAAATAATTACATTCAAATGTATTACATTAAAAAAACAGATAAAAAACAGATAAATCAGTGATCCCCCGGAACCCGGTAATGACCCCCGGTTCCGCATCCCCGTCCTCGCCTTTCCCGTGCTGGGTGTCATCGTGTTTCCTGCTGTGGCAGGGTCGATAGCCCAGAGAAGTAAATGCGTTCCGAATCCATGAAATCAGTCATATCTCCATATCTAGAAGATCCGCTTTGGTACAGTCGGCTACCCATACCCTCAAAGTTTGGTCGTGTTGGCGGTGGGTGGGGTTCCATGGTGGGTCTGTAGAATTGATCGTCTGAGTACAGGGGATAGAAAGGAAATGGATCTTGGGGTGTTTGGTATTGAGGATGTTGGGTGGTTTGGTGATACTGTGGTTGATGGTAAGCTGGGTCGGTTGGTTCGTAATCTTCCGACATTCTCAGATCAGGGCTAAGGCTGGATGTTGAGGGGCCCATATTGGGATATACGGAAGACTGAAATTGTGTATGGGGTATGCGGGTGTGTTGGTATTGTGATCGGTATTGCGGTTGGGTGTGAGGCATATGGGGGTATTGGTACTGAGGTGGTGATTGTGGTTGGTTGTGGGGCATTTGAGTGTAATTTTGTTGTGGTGGGGACTATGGTTGGGTGTTTGTGGTTTTGTTTCGTCTGGGGGGTTGGTGGGAGGTTGATGTGTGTTGGATTTGTTGTTGGGGAAACGACGGTTGTGCCTATTGTGTTCGTGGGTCAACTAAATACCTTGGATGAGACACGTGCATTTCAGGGTTACTAACCGACCTATACCAAGATAAATATTGATTCGTGTGTGTAGAGCTTTCATGTGTGTAGAGCTTTCTCAATTCATATTCTATAAAATATTTAATTTTGATAAATGACACTACAAATATAGAATGTGATCATAAAATCGAATCATTCGATTTTACTCTATTTTTGATTAAACTCTAGAGTCCTTGTAATTATAATAGACTAGAGAAAATTTTGGCCAGCCTACGTTCGACTGTGTTTGTGTAACATTACTAAAAACCTTTAACTAACTCTTAAATTGTTAGGTATATTAATTTCGGCCTATACTTTGACTATTTTTAAGTGTAAAATAAAACTAGAATCAATATCATATAGTCAAAATTATAAAAAGATGATTTAATTGTATTTTATACCCCAATTATAAGAATTGTGCAATTTTTATCTCCGATTCATTTAGCAATTTTGATCCCATAACATTATAAGCCAAAATACTATTAAGAAAAAAAAAATCAATAATCAAGAACATTTAAATAAAATAATAAGAGATCTTTTTAAATTTAATCAGAAACTCAGTCATGTGTAAACATTAATATTAAATTTTTTCAAAATAGAATTTTATCGTTGATTATAATAATACTCTTAATTAGGAAGATTAGTGTTTACAATTGCAATATCATATTTTTATTTAAAAAAATGAAAATATATCACTATAGTGAAATCCAAGAGTTACTAGCCATGGCTTTCATCTACACGAATAAATTGCATTATCCATCAAAGAAATTGTATGCTACCTTCCTTTTGCATTATTAATCACAGAAATTGTACGTTACCTTCGTTTTGATGAGTTGTCCATTAGTCATTAAAATTAATATAAATACCAAAAACAGTCCCCATTTCAATTATACTCAACCCATCGCCACCATTTTCTTGTACCAACAAAAGCACCACTCAGTTGCTCCGCGAACTCGCCACGGTTTCACTTTTATTGCTCGCACTCTACTACTCAGCCTCATGCATATATCTACTCTTACAGTTTTCACAACCTTAACTCAAACCATTCTCTTCTTCTTACTTCATCCAATCATTTCCATCAATATAGTTAACTCTTTTTGCTACAAGTTTTCATCATTTCAAACAACTATGTCTTCTTCTTCTTCTACTTCCAAAAGACACCCAACATACCACGGAATTCGATGCCGTGGAGGAAAATGGGTCACTGAAATCCGTGAGCCTCGCAAAACCAACCGCATATGGCTAGGCACATTCTCCACTCCTGACATGGCTGCCGCAGCTTACGACGTTGCCGCTTTGGCTCTCAAAGGTCCCGACGCAGTGCTCAACTTTCCTCACAGAGCTTGCATGTATCCAGTCCCGCCTTCCAATTCTGCCGATGACATTCGTAACGCTGCCATTGCTGCAGCTGAATTCATGAACGCTGAATACCGCAATGATGCTGGTTTTGAAGTTAATCCTTCGTATCAAGCTCATCAGTTTCTTGATGAGGAAGCTATATTCTCCATGCCAAGTTTGATGGTAGCAATGGCCGAGGGAATGATGCTTTCACCTCCCAGAATGAATCCACCACCCTCTGATTACTCACATGATCAATATTACACTATGGGACAAAGTTTGTGGAACCATTTTTGATCAACCACGCTCTCTCCATTTATAATATACATATGATATAAATTATAACTAGTACTTTTTTTTCTTCTTTCCTAATCCCATGCACCAATCAAAGTAATTAAACTACTATAGTATATATAATGTCTTGTTAATCCAACTCAATCGGTAGTTGCCGGGACATCCGATTAGAGAGACAATTCAAATTTAATCACCATGAAATGGAAGTTCTGCTAATTAGACTAAGAAAAAAAATACTATATATAACGGAATAGGAAAATGTATCTGGCCCATATCATGCATCGCAGTGATCATGATTAGCTAGAGAGTATGTGTTTTGATGCTTGTGGGATCAATTAGTCTAGGTCTGATTGCATGTATCAGAACTTTTTCTAATGAGGCGTGAGTTTCTTGGTGCTGTATATAGTTTTTCTTTTGTTTATATGTTATATGCGTGATTAATAATGATGTTTAAAGAGTAATAATAGGGGACAAAAACTTGAAACCACCAACACCAGGACAAAACCAAATAGGGAAGACTTCTATTGCGATGCAAAAGTTATAAAAGGCATGCATGTTTGGTTGCTTTGCGTGGAAGTTGAATGATAATATGTAAATAATTTTTTATTTTTTATTTGCAAAAGCAAAGTAAATTTATAGTATATATAATAATCAGACCCAACATAAGAAGTGCAAAGATGGAATAGTACAAGACGAGTCCAAAGATAACTAGCCAATAACATACAAAAAGCATCCAATATTGTTTAGTATCTCTTTCAAAGAAGCGGTTTCTCCACTACCTGCTGCTCAAGAACCTCTGCGTTTTCAAAATCTTAATAATTGTCAATCGTCTTTTTCTGGAAGTTACAAGTGGCTTGATACGGATTTGGATGATGAGAAGGTTTCTTCCTTCTCCAAATGCTTAGTAGGGGTGATGAAACCAAAAATCCAGCTCTCATCTATCCTTGATCAGTTTCACGGCTTCCCATTCATCATACTCTCTCCTTTGGGGAGAATACGTTCACCAAAGCTCTGCGGTGGAAGGCTTGTTAGATGATTTTTGTGCAAATGAAAGCTTGGTTTGGAGTATGTTCTTCGTGACTTGTTGATATTGCAAGAAGAGAATATGGAAAGAGAAGTTTTCATTATTCTTCAATAATATGTTACATAATAGTGTAGAGAGTATTTATATATTACTAGATGATGCCTACTCTACCAGTATATATTATTGTTATATCTACACAAGGCTAACTTATATCTACAATATAGTGGTTATGTTGATACCTTCCCACGAGTTGGGATATGGATATTACATAATCTTAATTTGGACAGAAGAGAGTTAAACAAAGGAGAATGTAAAGGTTTGGTTAGGACATCAGCCTGTTGTGAACTAGAAGGTACATGAAGAAGATGAACCAGCTTCGAAACCAGTTTTTTTCATATCATATGATAATCTAATTCAATATGTTTACTGCGTTCGTGAAAAGTTAGATTATGTGCAAGGTAGATAGCATATTTGCGATCACAATATATTGATGCAGGATCGGGAAATGTGATACAGAAATCTTTAAAAAGATAACACAACCACTATATTTCACAAGAGATGCCAATACCTTATACTATGTTTCAGTAGAGGATCTAGAGACAGTGTTATGCTTCTTTGAACGCCATGAAAGAAAGGAATTGTCAAGAAGAACACAAAAGTCGTGACGGATTTCCTAAAATCAGAGCATCATGCCCAATCTGAATCTGCAAAGCCATGAAGCTTGAGTGCACTAAAACTGGAAAATAACACCTCTTGTGCAAGGAAAGCCTTCAGGAATCTAAGGACACGGGTAACAGCTTGATAGTGAGAAGTAAAAGGATTGACAACAAACTGACTAAGGTATTGTACATAGTAAGAAATATCAGGGAGGGTATTAGTGATGTACAAGAGTATGACAATCAATTTTCTATATGAGTAACAATCATCTAATAGAGCTCCTTTAGTAGAAGAAAGTTTGGTGCTAGGGTCAATATGGTAGAAATAGGTTTGGCCCCAAGAAATCTTGTATCTTCAAGCAATTCCAAAACATACTTCCCCTGATTTAGAAATATGCCAGAAGTAGATCTAGCAATCTCCAGGCCTAGGAAGTATCAGAGCTGACCAAGATCCTTTATACGAAATTTGTGATCCAAGAAAGCCTTGACATTGTTGATTTATGTGATAGAGTCTCCTGCAAAAACTATATCATCAACATACATAAGAAGAGTAGTGAAACCATGTGAAGTGCTTTTTGTGTACAATTAATGATCACCTGCAAATTGTCGATAGCCCAAGGATATTAAAGCAGGAGACAATTTGACATGCCACTACAAGGATATTGTGAGCTTACATACCTTGTTGGAATCAAAATACCATATCCAGGAGGTATCCATGAGGAAGGGACTTATATACCTCCTCATTGATATCCCTGAAATTCTGGCTACAGATACTCAATGTCACGTCCAATGTTATGACACCGTATCTGACTTACTATATGACAGTAAATACAAAAGCAGTAAATAACACAGTCAATTGTTTACCCAGTTCAGTGTGCAACAACACCTACTCTGGGGGCTACCAAGCCAGGGAGAGAATCCACTATAAGAGATGTTAATTCAGGAATAAACCAACCAGTTTATCTCCTTCACTTAAGACCTACCCAATGCAATTCTAATCTAAGTACAACTTAAACCTGAGTTCCTACTCACTCCCCCTCAATCACAGCAGTGATACATAAACCACTTTGACTTGAGAATTGATGAAGACACTCTTCAAAACACACACTTGATTAAGCTTCACAGCTTTTTAATCAAGTAACACAATCACTCGTGCTTCACAGCTTTGAGTGATGTACACAACTAACTTGACTCTGCTTCACAGCTTTAGTCAAGTAACATTCAAACACTCTTGCTTCAAAGCTTTGAGTGCTACACAACCCTTACAATTGAAACCTATTCCAAGGCACTTATCACAATGATAATTTCTTGGAGTACAATAAACAAATCTATACAGATTACAAAATTGATCTTCTAATCTATCAGCAGGGATGTCTTGAAAAACCGCAGCTCTGTTGAATATATAGCAGCTGCAACTTCAGTTAGGGTTTCCAAAAACCTAGGGTTGATTCCGTTTGACCTAAAGACCAGGTCACAGTACTTTATTGATCAGGTTAGGATTGAGCTAGGTTACTCCTCAGAAAACGCAGGATTCTATTTAGAAGGGACTGAGTTATTTCCTGAAAAAACTCAGACTTATCCAATCCTGCAATCCTGTTAGTTCAGAACAGGATGTCATAACATCTGTTATGACATCTGAGAAAACCTGTCTACTGATTTAGCAAAATGTGATCATTTTGCAAACATGCTCAGATACACACTTATAAACATCAGTATTTGAATTACAATATTTTTCTGCACATGTACCTATTGAGTTAGTACAACCTGAACTAGAATGTTATGACATCAGTCATGACATTCACACATACACTTGGATTTACCAAAAATGCAAGCCAATACCTAAACACCTACAAACTCCCCCTTTGGCATATTTTTGGCTAAAGTCCCTCAACAATCAGAGATAGATAGATAGCAGCAGAAATAAGTGACAGCAGAAAAATATAGTGTCAAGTACTAATTAAGCAGTACCAAAAATATTCTCCCCCACTTTAGCCACAAATGGGCCAAAGATTACATGTTTATAAAGTTATACAGTTATCCAAAACAAAATAATGAGATCAGCAGCAGACAACAGCAGAACACACTTCCAAACTCCACCAGCAACACCACCAAGCAGCAATCAACCTTCAAGCACTGTCATCAGACTCAGAGGAGCCAATTTCTTCAATGTTGAGCTGTCCTTCATCTTCTTCCCTTCTGCTTTCTTCAGCTTCTTCCTTTTCTAGCCTGGCAATTAGAGCTTCTAGGGTCCTTTTTCTAGCATCCAGATCTTTGCAAGTTTCTTTTAAAACAGCTATGACATCTGATGTTTTGGACTGGATCTTTGCAGACGATGTCTCAACTGATGTTATGACAATGTCTGGAGCATGGGATCCCTGAAACAGTTTGTAGTGCAGGCCAAGGGCAGGGGCTCTTTTGCAGACTGTATCTCTTGCTACAAGGATGTCAGGGTATTGTGCAAGGATGATTCCACAAAGGAGGGAGGGAAAAGCAATTGGTCCTTTGACAGCATAACTGCCAGCATGCTTCAAGGTTTGTTCAATGATGTACCTTCCATAGTCAAAGGCAGTCTTGGTTCCTACAGCATAGATGAATCTCCCCAATCCTGTGGAGATGGTTGATTTGTGATTTGTAGGCACCCAGTTTGCTGCACCTATTTTATGCAAGATGGCAAATTTCATGCTGAGTTTACTAGCATTCAACTTCCCTTTCAAGGGCCAGCACTTTACTTGCCTGGCAGTGATGGTCAAACATACTTCATTGTCAGTTGCCTCTAGATCAGGACAGTCCTTATTTGTTCTTCCAAGAAACTTGTTGATTTCTGATGGAGAGAACTTGACCCTTCTTCCTCTAACAAACACACTCTCAAAGTCAGCTGACCTCCCATCAGCACAATCATTGGACAAGTTCACTACAAACTCTTTAACCAGATTTTGATAACATTTGCTAAACTTCATCACTGTCTTCATTAGCCCAGCATTCCTGATCAGCTCCATGATGTCTTTGCACTCCAAGGCATCATTGTTGAGTTCTCTCTCCAAGGCTATTCTCTTCAAGCAAACATACTTCCATCTGTTTGCATTATCAGGATGATGAAAGGAGATGTTGTCTGTTGGCACTTCAGGCACTCTAGCAATCTTGCTGGAGGGGAGCTTCCTTCTGATGGGAGTATTGTCAATGTCAATCTCAAATTCTGATTCATCATCAGAATCAGAAGTTTCAGGTTCTTTACTTTTCTTGGAGATTGGTTGTCTAGCAGTCTGCACCTGTGCCTTCTTCCCTTTTGTCTGAATTTTCTCAGCCATCCCTTCAGCCTTGGATTT